ACACACACACACACACACACACACACACACACACACACACACCTGTCCATCCACATGAAGTAAAAGAAAACGTAATTCATCAGACCAAGCCACCTTCTTCCATTGCTCCATGGTCTAGTTTTTGGGGCTTTTGGCAGTGAACATAGGTCATCATGGGCACCCTTGGTGGTCTGCGGCCACACAGCCCCATACACAACAAACTCTGTTCAGACACCTTTCAGAACCAGCATTAACTTTTTCAGCAGTATGAGCTACAGTAGCTCTTCTGTTGGATCACGGGACAGCCTTCGCTCCCCACATGCATCAATGAGTCTTGGCCGCCCATGACCAGGTCATTGGTTCACAGGTTTTCCTTCCTTGGACCACCTTTGGTAGGTCCTGACCACTGTAGACTGGGAACATCCCACAAGAGCTGCAGTTTGGGAGTTGCTCTGACCCAGCCATCTAGGTAGGTGTGTGTGTCACACACTTTTTTTTCTTTTTTTTTTTTTAGGCGTTTCCTTGGAGCAGACCTTGCTTCCTGATCTTGACAATGCTTCTTGATCATTAACCCTTTGTTAGGACAGTGTTCAAATCTAGTTTACAACTGGTAATGACGTCTGCCAGCACAGTACAGACAGGTTCAATCTACTCCCCCAAAAATTGCAGTTTGGGATTTCTCAGAAAAGAGCCAGTTACAGTTTTAAAATTATTTTTCAAATTCTGCTGTGTGAATGGGAACATGTAACAAATATAAAATGGGTGTTATCCCAATTTGGCTGCAAAAGTGGAAATACACTGTTGTGCACAGGATTACAGGATATTGATTAAAAAAAGTCAACCTCCTTGCATTAGCTTTATTTAACAATGTATTTAATTATTATATACTGCATTAAAACAGGACCTGTACTGTAGCAGCTGAGGCCAAAAATAGGCAAGCAGAGAGCAAAGGACTAGTCACCAGCATTGCCTGTAGGGTCTTTGCATCCAATTTATTCCCATAATAACTTACTATGCCGTGTTCTGTGTCTGTGTGGACAATAGCGGCTTCGCTTCCTGATGTCATACCAGTTCTCTGATGACTGGTGGGGTAATTAAGATCTGTGGAAAAACAATAAGCAGCACACTATTGACATCACCAGATCTTAATTCAAATTTTTAAGAATAGCAGTCATCAACGGATTGGGCGGAACTAGCCTTAGATTGTCACCCTGCCACCTCAGTGCAAAGGAAAAATCTCCAAATCCCGTGAGCAGTCATCAGACAGATGTGGACAAGGTAGATTATTCACACTGCAGATTTGCACCTATTCGATTATGGGAACAGCAGTGCCTAGGCAGTGTTGCACATTGAGAAGTGCACTTTTTATTTTTCCGCAGCAGTTCAAGGCAAAGGGGTTTATTTTTTTAATTTTTGTTTTTTTCCCTCTTCCTATTGGGTTTTATGTCTTGGAAAGCACAGGAAAATGTGAACATTTTTGTCAGGTTTTTTTTTTTTTTTGGGGTGGAGGTCCCCCTGGGTAATCTGGCCGCCCTTGCCTCCTGTCCTTTTGACACTAGGGCAG